CTGTACCAGGGATTGAACTCAGGACCTTGCACTTGCCAGGCAGGCGCTTATTCTACTGAGCTATCTCCCCGGCCCTTACAAACAGAATTTTAATTAGAGATTTGTTGCCTAGTCTTACAAACTGAAAAAAGTCTCAAGAGGAAAAGCATGTGGGAAAAAACAGCCAATCCCATCCAACTCTTGCTTAGAATGTTTGTGGGGACAGAGTGTATAGGAAACTACGCAGCCCAAACTGTTGTCTATAGATCACGGGAAGCATAAAATTTGTGCACATTAATAATTTTTCATGCATTGATAAGCACTTTCAGGTTTTTTAATCTAAAATATGTTCAGCAAATTCTTGATTAGGTACAGTGGGATGGATCCTGGAGGGCTGTTAACTCACTACTGAGGGCTGGCGAGACAGCACAGCAGTCTAAGTGCCTGCACAGCAAATGCAAGGACCCGGGTTTGATCCCCAGTAGCACATGCATCGCTGGCCCCAGAACCCCGGGCACGCCATGCTGGCCCTGAAATCGGGCATGATGGTGCATGCCTAGAATGCCAGCACTTGGGGAGGCTGAGACAGGAGGATCACTACAAGTCTGAACTGTGTAGTGAGACCTTGTACCAAATAAATCATAAAAATTTTTTTAAAAATAAACTCACTACTGATTAATGTGAATGGATAAAATCTGAAAATGAAGTATGACTGGATGTAGGCATATAGGAGAGAGGCTGAGTAAAAATAATTAAGATGGCAGATTTAGAAAGAATAAATGGTAAAGAGAATCAAGGCAATACAGAAGCCCCAGGAGAAGTCGGTAAAAAAACAAATGTTCAATACCATGTAGTACAAATAGTTGTAATGATCAAAAAACTATTCAGTAAAGTATACAGAAAGTTTCTAGTGACCTTCAAAAATGGTGGACCAGTGAGGTTTTTGGGTATATAAATGAAATGAAGAGGAAAGAAAATACTGAAAATCAATGTATTTTTTTTTCCAAGAATTTTGATCTGTCCTCCTCTATTGAGCTTCACTCATTTGTATAATTTGTGTACTTTTATGTTTCCTTACATATAAGCAGTAAGGCTCAGGCTATGCCTTATTCCTCAGATGATTAAGTGTTTAGTGCATACAGCAGGCACTAAAGTCTTAATTTTTTTTTTTTAATCATTAGACTTTTGGCTGCAGTTGCACACTGTACTAATAACATTAGAATTTAACTCAGCACTAACATACATGCAAGTTCAAATTTACTAAAAGATGATTTTTCTACTTTATTTTTAAATGAGAAAAAACAAAGCTATAAATATTGGCTAACTTCTTATACTAGAAAATTGTTCAAATCACTTATGAAGAGATACAATTTCTGTAACTAGGCAAAATCTTTCCTGTTTGAGCAAAAACTTTTTGTTAGACGTAGGGGTTGCATAGGCCAGTAGTCCTAGCATATGGGAGACTAAGAGACGAAGATGGTGAGTTCCAGGCCATACTGCACTACACAGAGACCATGTTTCACAATGAACGAAAGAAAACAAGAAATTTCTAATTGCTAAGTTTGACAGTAATAGTCAAGAAATGAATCCATATAGCCAGGTGTGGTGCTGTATGTCCATAATCCAAGGATTCTCTGAGGCTGAAGCCAAGAGGTTCTAAAGTTCTAGCCCAGCCTAGGTACGCTTACTGACTTGGCGACACCCTGTCTCAGAATGAAAAATAAAAAAATGGACTGGAGATATAACTCAGTCTCAAGATTATACTTAATCTTCAATACAAAAAAAAAAAAAAGTGTTCAAACCAATCTAGCACATTTGTCTTGGCTTAAATAGTTCAATGACCTACATATGTGATAATAAAGTGCATATCACTATGTAAACATGCTTATCGGAATTATTCTAATTGCTAAATAGAACAAAATATGGGAGCCTGTAAATCCTGTGGTCTATTAATGTTGTTAAAGATCTGTCTAAAGATGTGTAATATGACTGTATGCACTTCCCAAATCACATTCCGGCTGAACAGAAATCATATAACCTGCATTTAAATTACTTAGTTTGCATTTTATAACAGTAATAATCCAAGTTAGTAAGCAAATCTCTTATTGAATTAGGTAAGTCCAAGATGCTAGGAGGCTCTTTTATAGCTTTTCTGTTACTCTGTCCTAAATTTTCAGTTCTGTCTCAGCTATGCCATCTTCAACTTGCTCAGTTATGAGTGACTTCAGAGGACTTAGACTATCTAAAATTAATTTAAAAAATATGTATTATACTTCAAATGTACTTCAGATTCTTAATCATTACATAGTCTAATAAAACACCTTCAGTTTTTCTAACAGTATACCTTTTTCAAAATACCTTTAAATTATGAAAACTGCAAGTAAATCTTTCTAAACTATATCTATGTTCCTTTTTATAATAGTGAGGTGGAGAAAGCATGTATTATCCAAAGCTGCTTAACTACTTCTCATTAACTGAAATGTGTACAATTTCGAGGTGAGGTAGGAGACCACTTATTGTGCAGCCTGTAAATATTCTCTACTCACCTACTATATTTTGCACCTCCAAGTGCTTGATTTAGATGAGGAGGGGCCTCACTGAGGCATGCTGCTTTTTTCTTTACTGTGACCAACCAGCCTTACTCTTTTAGGCAGTTATATTTTGTTTTGACACTGCAAGTATTAAAGACCATGTTTATCTTAGACCATGTCTATCCTAGGGTTTCATAAACATTAAACTTGAAACTGATCTAGCAGTTGTAAGGCCAATGAATTTTATTTCAAGCGGTAATTCGAAAAGAGTACAAAGGTCAGCTTATGGGCCCCAAAATAATTTGCTGACAGAATTCATTAAGTCTTTCTCTGAGCTAACATTTTAAAATGTTCTGAGGATCCTCAATTGTCAATAACGAATCTTTTTAAATGTCTGTATGGCAGCCCAATAAATCACTTAAAAGACATGCAAACACATACTGAACCCGTAATATGGGCTATTAATTTTCAACAGTCGACTTCTGATGGGAGTACAAACCTCAACCGGTGTTTATGTATGAGGAAAGACATCCATAGTATAGTATGCTCTTTCCCAAACAACTCATAAGATTCAAATGCTTTTTGGAAGCCAGTGTCTAAACAAAACAGCACGAGACAAGCTCATGCTACCCTTTGTGTATGAAGAGGCAGAACAGCTATTTGGCAGTAATGTTTTCTAAATATTGCAGCTAGAATCTTAACAGGTTGCTTCGGTATATTATGTCATGTTTAGAAAGAGTTAAGCAGAGCAGAAAGGACTGATAGGGCTAATAGTTAAATTATATGTAACTACATAAACCTGTGCCATAAAACACCATTTAACGAAAAAGCCCTTAACCTCGTCATTTACTTCTACCTTGCCGCACCTCTGGCCTCCACCTTGCACCGGGTTTCTTCGAGGTTTATGGAGGTGCCTTCTTTCATCCTGGTGCCCAATTTTACCCTAACCCACTGCACCGCCCCTCCCCCCACTTTCCCAAGCTTGCCTTTTCCCCTAAAAACCATCCCGGAGGGCAAAGTCCTCTCCTACTCCCCAGCAAGGCGCACTCTCTGGCTTCTCTGCGGCGCAAAGATCTGGGCCTCCTGCACTTACTGCTTTCAGCTTCCTCAAGGACAGAGGCTAGGGACGGGGACAGGGCCGGAGCCTGGGCAGGGTCTGGGGCTGAAGCCGAGCCAGGAGTCAGAGCCGAATCTGGGGCCGGAGCTGGGACCAGAGCCGAGTCCCCGGCCGGGGTCAGGACCTGGGCCACCTCCTCCTTCTCCAGGGGTAGCAGCTCCTCCTCCGCCATGTTCTCCATAGTTACCGCCTCCGCGCCAGGCCCGCCCGGGGGCGGGGAGGGGCTCACGACGGGGTAAGAGGGCTGACGTGAACGCTCAGGGCTGGATCCAAGGAATGGGGAAGAGAGGGAGAGGGCGGGATGCGTTCGACAGACCGAAGATGGAGAACCAGTGATCAAATCCTGTTAGAAGAAAAAAAAGCAACCCAGGGGCAGCGATTCAAAAACCCGTCGACTTCCCTTCCCCCAGGCGTTGCGCCGCCACCACAGACTGCGCAGACGCCAGGTAGGAGCGACGTCCAATGGGGTGAGAGAGTTCTCTCTCCATAGTGTCTCCGTTCCCTTGCTCACCACCGAACTCAAGCAAGACTACTACTCCCAGGGTGCACAGCGTCGAGCGGGCGGGGCCGCACGCCCAATTCACGGGGGAAGCACCTGAAGACCTCCTGAAGCGCCCCCGAGTGTTAGCGCCGAACTACGTTTCCCAGTGGGCAGCGCGCGCGGAAGGGGTGTTTTCCTGTGCCTTGGAACTGTGCAAGCGGCACAGCCACTGATGCTGCTAAGGTAAGAAACGGGACGGTCTTTCGAGTTTTCTCAGGACAAGGTCATCCTTCTCCCGGTCCCAAGTACCGTCGCGGCTGTCGACCGAACGAGGGGGGACTCAAAGTCGCTGGAGCCTGGGCGGGGCGACTCTGTAGGCAGCGCCCGGGTCGGGCCCGCGGAGAGCAGCGTCTGGGTCTGGCCTGGCGCTGTGGGGAGGGGATGTTCTGAAGGATGTCAGCTGAAGCGCGGCCCAGATTGCTTGTCAGTGTGACTGACTTGGAGTTGGTGTCTTCTCTTCATTTCGCACCCTCTCATTTCCTTTGTTTTTATTATAGCCTACGTATTCACAATATGAGCCGAACTCCAATGCAAGTGACCCTTGCCTATGAGTTGAATTTGCCTTTTTATCGGCCCCCTTCTTTCCACCCACCCCCCCAGCCCCCGTAGTGGGCGTGGAACCCCGCGCCTCTGTAATTTTCCTTTTTTTTTTTTTTTTTTTTTTTAATGTGTTTTGTGCAGGGTCTCACTACGCAGCTCAGACTCATAGCGATCCTCCTGTTTTCACCACGTCCGTCGCTGGCGCAGCATATGGTACCCGGGATCAAACCCCGGTTCCTGAGCTTGCCTAAACAGGCGTTTAGTCGGTTGAACTATCTACGCGGGCCCGGGTTGTAGTTTTTGTTTTGAGATAGGGTCTAAGTCGCCACGTTGCCCTCGCTGAGCTTTTACGCGCAATCCTCTTGCCTCATCCTGCCCGAGTGCGCCACCACGCATTTATTTTTAGACTTTTAACTTTAAATCAGACCGCTTGAATGTGTTGAACTGAGAGGGCTATGATTACAGGTATGTTTCCCCAAGGCATAGATAGGGTCAGTGAAGTCCCCTCCCCCATGCTTTTCTTACCAGTACTGTCTTGTAGTACTTGACTTTCAAGCTTCACTTCCCCTCCCCCCAACAAAACAAAACAGAAAAACGAGCATTTAGGGAGGGAAAAAGTTTTCTGGTTGCAGCCTGTGACTGGCCTGAATGTTATAGGCAGCAGGAAGCAGAGGGGAAGTCTATTCAGGTACAAGGCTCATTCTTGTAGTTCGGTGTTCTTAGCTAATAAAACTGATACTGTGCCTTTCTTACTACTTTACACCTCAGAATACAGAGGAGAGAGAGTGATTTTTGGCACTTTGAAACCCTCTCTGGAAGTTAACCTCTTCTTTCCCCTCTCATTAAGTATGAGGGGGAGGCTTAAAAATAAACTTTTCTACTTTAATAGAAACAGATAATCCTCATCAATGTTCTTGGAATTACAGTTCTAAAGCCTTTTTAATTTACTCTCTTAAATTAGTCTTGGATGTATAGTTGATTTACTGCTTAATAGTTAATTACTAATGGGATACCAACGTATAAAAATGCTGACTTTATCAGTGCACATCAAAGAATCATTGATTTTTTTTTTTTTAATATATCGAGTACAGGGTCTTACTATGCAGCTTGGACTCCTAGCGATCCTTCTGTTGTTAGCCTCCGCCATTACAGGCATGCGCCACCACGCCAGGTCTCCATGGCCGGCTCAGTGACTGGAGGGGGTGATGGAGGCAGCGTGTGGTGCTGGGGACGAACACTGGTCTATGTGCTTGCCTAAGCAGGCGCTTAGTTTGCTGAGTTATCTCACTGGCCCAAGAATCATT